CGCCGCCGGTGGCGACAAAGGCGAGCCTGGAGCGGTAGAAGAGACTGCGACGACGGTGACGACGAAAAACACGGCGGCAGCGGCGGCGGCGGCGGCGGCGGCGGCGACGGCGGATCCTCTCCTTGTCCTGCGGCGGGCGGTGTCCGCGCCGACGAAGAGTCGCACCGGTAGCAGCAACAGCAGCAGTAGCTGCGGCGGCGGGGGTGACGGCAACGACGGCGAAGAATCCGCACGTTCGAGGAATAATAGTGCAGTGTCGACAGCGGGAGTGGGACAGGCCGCCCCGGGGGCGGCTACTGCCGTTGTTGCCGCCGAACGCCAGCGGGCAAGCAGGCAGCACCAGCGGCAGGGTTCGGCGCACCTCCACATGTCAAGCGGTCGGAAAAATCCTTCAAGGGTGCTGGAGAACCGAGGCCGCCGCGCGTCTCGGAGCGTTACTATGGTCTCTGCCGGCGCTTCTACTGCCGCTTGTTCCACGGCTGGTACAGCTGCCGCCGCGGCCGCCGCCGCCGCTGCCGCGGGTAGGACGGAAGGAATTTCCATGCACAGCGATGACGGGGGCGCCGGCCGTTACCGACGCGTCGTTATGCGAAGGTCCTCAGACACGGCGCGCCCGGCGGTGGATCTGGGTCAGAAGGAGCAGGCATGGAAGAGGTGACACAATAAACGACGACCGGCACAATATCTGTCCCCGAATTAGAGCATGTTTATTTTTGTAAAATCAAGTTCGTATGTATGCCACACACAATCACGTACTGCGTGAGTGTTGTTCTCGGCGGCGAGGCGCTTTTCCCCCCCCCCGCTTGTGGGTATGACCCGGGATGTCTTTCTGGGGGCCCGCCGTAACTAAACGGAATATGCAAATACATGCGGCTCGCCAACCTCCCTCCGCCTCCACGCGCGCGCGCCTTTCAATGTAGCCAGCGCACTGACTCGTCTCCTGCCCCCTCCCGCCGAATCGATATGCAGAGAAAGGGCGCAGCTCCTGACGGTGATAAAACTCCAGCACAGGCAGCTGATGATGCGGCCGTCCTCCTCGTCTTCCTGCAGCTGGGCCGACGGTTCCCCGTCAGGAGACAGCGTCGGCACCGCCAGCACGGCGGCCACGACCGCCCCTCCCGCCGAGCCGCCGAGTCCCAGGTCCAGCCCCTACGTATCGAGTGTAACGCCGCCACCGCTGCAGTCGCGACAGCGCCATCGCCCTTCACGCCCGTCGCAGTCGCTAACCCCGCCACCTGCCACAAGAGAAGCTCCCATCATCACCTCAAGGCCGCCACGTTTGGCGAACGACTACGACGAGGAGGACAGCGATAGCACACCAAGAGCGGGCGCGCGGCCAGTGCCCCCCCCCNCCCCCCCCCCCCCCCCCCTCCTGGCGGCCTAGCCGACGGGCGGCGGCGCGAGGGCGACGACCAGGCCGGCGCCGGCGCCGGCGCTACCGCCGCCCCCGTGCTGCTGTCGAGGTCGGAGCGGACGCACCTCCTCGGCAGGGTGGAACTCCAGCGGGAGAAGGCCGCCGCGCGGGGGGTCGGCAGGCTGCAGGCAGGCCGGGGCCGCGGACTAGCTTCGGCCGGGAGCGTCAAGTCTAGGAGCGACTCCGGGTCAAGCTGCCCGGACTCGCCGGCCGTCGCCGGTCCGATGGCGGCGCCACGCGGTTTTCCCGCCGAAAGTGAAGACAGAAGGGGGGGCGGCGGGAGCTGCTACGACGACGCGGGGTACGGCGGCGGCGGCGGCGGCGGCGGCGGCGGGAACGCTGAAACTGTGTCGCCGTCGAGACGGTGCTGCGTCGAAGGGCGCCTAGAGGTGCGTGCGCCGGGGCGCCAACAACATGGTGACGGTGGTGTGCAAATGTTGAGACTGCTATGTTCTACCGAGTTGTTATTCCCTGTTTCGTTGCTTCATGTTTCGAAAAGCCCTCTGTTTGCGGTAACCCTGCGCCTGTTGTTTTCGGACTCAATTTGTTGCGCCCTTGGTTTCTGTTACACGCGACTCAGGTGGGGCTGTAACCGTCTATTTTTTGCCGCCCCCCGTTGGGTGGCGTGGGAAGGTTGAACAACTTATGCGCAGGGGAACCGACCTGTTTTGATGCCGATTTCTATTCCAGCGCCTGTTTACTGTCGACCGCTGGCAAAACCAGATAAAGACGACTGTCTCAACGCACCTTCAAGTAATTGCGCTTGTGTGCGTCATCAGTCACACAGTAACGCTCTTACACATGCAACTCCCAGGTGATGGAAAGGAACGTGAAGGCGGTGCTTCGGAGGCTGGACGAGCTCGAGAAGAGGAAGAGCAAGGGTGGCAATGATGACCGGAGCGTCCAATCAACGCGGTCGGACCGCCATGTACACGCGATTTAGGCTACTAGTTGTAGACATCTGGCGGAGCGTGCGAACTATGTAGACTTAATGCGCGTGTCTTGTCGCTCGTACCAGTACATATTATGCGGTTGTAGACCTACTGAGCAGACACTGTTCGTCCGCGGCGTCGGGGGAGGGGCAACTACGCAGAAAGCGTATGACTAAGCCGACGTCTTTATCCGCATCGGGCAGCCATCTAGGGCGCGACCCGACGTATGAATACTCACGCATTTTGTCCACTCACTCACGCATGCATGCTGCATAGAAGCAACCTTCTGATTATTATTTCGGATCTCGACCGGACACACGTGACACACCGTACTGGAGATGGGAATTCACGCCGCGGGGGGTGACGTAGGGCCGAGGAGCATGAGCAAGAGGAGGGCATTTGTTTTGGCAAGGACAACGAAAGGGAGGGATAGATGTGCACAAGATGCACGTACGCCCAAGCAGGTATTTTGCTTGGTCACGAGGGGGGGGG